GTGGGGAAGGACCAGGGCTGCCCCTGGGGTTCTGAATGCTCCAGTTTTTGGAGAAGCTGCTCCAAGAAATGGGAACCTCAGCTGCCAGGGGAAAAGGAAGCCATGGATATATTGCAGTGCAGCCACTGGAGCTTTTCAGAGGGGTTTGGTGGGATTTGGGGGATTTTTTTGTTGGGTTTTCTTTTTAAACAAAAAGAAGCCTGGAATGGGCTGCCCAGGACAGTGGTGGAGTCACTATCCCTGGAAGTGTTCAAAACATGTGTGGATGTGACATTTGGGGACATGGCTTAGTGGTGAACATGGTGGTGGTGCTGGACTTGATGATCTTGAGGGTCTAAACGATTCTGTGATTCTGATTTTCATTCCCCACCACCAATTCTGCCCCTTCTTGCTGGTGAGGGCCAGGGCTGGAAGGGAGCAGCTGGCTGTGGGGAAAGAGAAACTCAGGGCAGGTTTCCTTCCCAAAGAGAGCCGTGTGTGCCAGGCAGAGCCCAGCCAGGCCCTGTCCCCGCCTCTGCTTTCGGCTGGATTTAAAAAAAAAATGATTGTCAGTTTCAGAATGAATCAAAGGGGATGAAAATAAGCTATGACAAAAGTTCTCACATCATTTTGAGTGGCATTTCAGTTTCTTTTGAGTGCTATTTCAGTTTCTTTGCGTATTGAATTTCTGGGTTTCTTTTTAAAAAAAGATAGAGGTGTGTTTTTGCCCTGGCACAGGGTGATTTTCAGTCAGGGCTTTCTAGGATGGGTTTGGTTAATTTAGAAAGGAAAGGAAAGCCTTTTCTGTTGCTTAACGTGCTGTTAAATCACGTAGCTGAGCAGTTCTGCAGAAACCTGTCCCAGAGCTGTCCCCTCCCCTTGACAACCCTTCTGAGGGGCTACTCAGCCCTCGGTGTCCCCTGTGCCACAGTTTCCCCTCGAGCTGGTTCGTGTGGCAGGTTTGGGCAGGGGCTGTGCTGGGGAGCCTGGCACACCCCAGGGTTGGCACAGGGGGGTCCCAGGGCCACGGCAGCCCCTGGTGGCAGCCCCCAGCCCGTCCCCTGGCACGGGGTCACCGCACAGCAGTGGTGGCTTTTGTGGTTACCCAGAAAAACTTATAACCGCAGAAAACGGAACTGGAGCAGAGTCGAAACTTCTGCTGGTGCAGAGGAGGGGGCTGGGGGACCCACGGGGTTACGGGAAGGCAGAGGGGCTGTGTCCCCTGTGCCCTGTGCCCTGTGCCCTGCCCCACTACCCACAGGGCTGTGCCCTTCGAGGACTTCGGCTGAACCTCTCCAGTGCTGCCCAGATCAGCTGTGGGATGAATAAAAGTGAAGCTCATGGACTCGTGGAATGGTTTGGGATGGACAGGACCTTAGAACCCATCCAGTTGCACCCCCTGCCATGGGCAGGGACACCTTCCACTAGCCCAGGTTGCTCCAAGCCCCATCCAACCTGGCCTTGGACACTTCCAGGGATGGGGCAGCCACAGCTTCTCTGGGAAACCCATGCCAGGGCCTCCCCACCCTCACAGGCAATGATTTCTCCCAATATCCCATCTAACCCTGCCCTCTGCCACTGCTCCCATTGCTCCCTGTCCTGTCCCTCCAGGCCCTTGAAAGGCCAGTTGAGTGAAATGCTGCTCTGTTGCCATGAGAGGCCACTCAGACACTGCTGAAGTTTAAGTTTGAAGTTTAAATTTGAAGTTTAGGCTGTGCAGGGTTAGGGAGAGGCACGGTGAGGATGTGGGGCCTTGGAGTGTCCAAGCAGTTCTCTTCAACCCCTTTCCTGCCCCACAGGTGTATCCATCCAACTCAGGTGATGACTACAGCAGGGATCCAGCTGGATATACTCCCTCAAAACCTCCCAGCACTGTGTATCCTGGAGCCTTTTATATGGCAGGTGAGTTATTCACACCCTGGGGCAGAGCAGGGGCTGCCTGGATTGTCACAGACCACAGGAGGGATTAGATGGAGGAGGCTCAGGACAGGAGTGCATGAGACAAAAAGCAGCCCTGAAATCATAGAATTATGGAATATCCTGAGTGGGAAGAGACCCACAAGGACCATCCAGTCCAACCCCTGTCCCTGCACAGACACCCCAACAATCCCCCCCTGTCCCTCAGAGCGTTGTCCAAACGCTCCTGGAGCTCTGGCAGCCTTGGGGCCGTGCCCACTGCCCTGGGGAGCCTGGGCAGTGCCCCAGCACCCTCTGGGGGAAGAACCTTTCCCTGAGATCCATCCCAACCCCCCTGGCACAGCTCCAGCCCTTCCCTGGCTCCTGTCCCTGGTTCCAGAGAGATGGTCCCAATTTGCTCAGCGGGGGATGCTCAGTGCAGACAGGACATGATGGGGACAGTCACAGCCCCTCAGCCCGGGCTGATCTCCCCCTGGGGGGCTGGGGGCTGCCTGTGGTGTCTCTGCCCTGCCCAGCTCCACTTTTCCTTGCAGATGGACTCCATAACTCGCCAGACCTGTGGAGTTCCCCGGGTGCCATGAGCCAGTCGAGTTACGGTGCCATGCTGGGCAGCTCCTCCTCCCCACTCCCACAGTCCAGTGGCTTCAACAGTTTACACCAGCACGAACGCATGGTAACGTGTGCCCTGGGGCTGGGGGGGCTCTGTCACCTCCATGTCACCTCCTTCCATGGCTCTGGGCTCGGGGGGAGCTGGGTCCTGGCCCGATGCCAAAGCCCAGCAGCTTTCCCGGGGCTGCTCTCACCCCTCTCCTCCTCCCTGCCAGAACTACCAGCTGCATTCAGGAGAGGTGAACGGGGGACTCCCCTCCGTGTCCGGCTTTTCCTCGGCCTCCACACCCTACGGAGTGTCCAGTCACACACCCCCGATCAGCGGCACAGACAATATGATGGGTACGTCCAGCCCCCGGGGGGACCCCCTTGCCCTGCACAGGCTCACCTGGAAAACCAGAGTCTTGGTTGCCTCTTACCTGAGGCATCCGAAAACCCCGACACTTTTTATCCCTCGTGTGCCACCTGTGCCTGGAGCCACTGTGTGAGGCACAGCGAGGTTCCTGCTGCTGGATACCTGGAGCAGGGAGACACCTGTGGGGTTTACACCTCCTGGGAGGAGCCCAGGAGCTCTGACATTATCCCTTGGAGGTGCTGTGGCTTACAGGAGTTGCGGGAAGGATTTGCACCTGTGTGAAGCTGTTCACTTAAATCCGGAATGGGAATGTTCGTGCTGCATTTAGATACCATGTTAACCCCTGAGTGCTTTAATCTCTGACCCCGCTGAACCTGTTACCAAACCTGTTACTGAAATGAACTTATGCTCCCCAGGAAATGAGGATCCTGACCTGGATTTGTAGAAAAACTCTTATTTTTCTACGGGGAATCAAGTTTGGGATTCATAGAATGATCGAATCACTAAGGTTGGAAAAGACCTCCAAGATCATCCAGTCCATTGGTTATTGTAGGGGCTTAAAATGCCCCATGGCAATGGGCTGTGCTGCAGCAGAGACATCTGATTGCTGTTGGTGGCACTTCCAACCCAGAGCTTAGAGAGACCTTCGTGCAGCCCCCTGAGGGCTGTCAGGGGGACTGTGCCCCTGTCTGGGCTGCCCTGAGCCACACAAACATTTCGTTTTCAAGCAAAGCACTAAGAGCAAAAAGTTTCCACCTCAGAGCAGGTGACCCCAGAGAAGGTCTCGTAGGGTGCCACGTCCTGCTGGGCTCTGGTGCCCTGGCAGTGACATCTGTGTCCTCTCCTGGCAGGTAACAGAGGAACCACAGCCGGGAGCTCCGGAGACGCACTCGGGAAGGCACTGGCCTCGGTAAGGGTTGGGATCATCCCTGGCCTGCTCCTGGTGCTCTTGCTGCACTGGACCCCCTCTCCATACAAATCAGGGAGTATGGGCACAGTGAGAAGTTTGGGTGAATGCAGCCCAAATTCACGGCAGACTCTGAGGGAAGGTTTTCCCCACTCCATGTGCTGCCATCTCAGTCCTGGTGCCTCTTGGCAGATGAGGAAACTGAGGCACTGCTTGTTGCAGCCCCACGACCAGCCCAGCACCTGCCCAGCCTCGTGCTCTCTGCCAAGACCACCCTGCACAGCCCCCGTGGCAGGACCTGCAGGTCCCAGTAGTCCTGGCCCTGCATGTGCTGGTTCAGACTGGAGGGCACTGGTCTCACTGGGTTATCAGAGTCGCCTTTGTCCCCTTCAGTGACCTTTGCACGGTGGCAGAGGGGGGCTGGCAGTGCACCCTGTGACACTTCCATAGGGCTCTCACTTCCTTCCAAGGTGGGACCCGAAGACTGGAGGCTGCACTCAGGGGTGGGGACAGAGAGAGACCCTGGGGTTGATGGGGGAGCTGGGCTGGGCCTTCACGTTGGGTGTGGGTTTGGGACAGGGGGTCCCCTCACTGCTCACTGCCCACCCTCTCTCTCCCCAGATTTACTCCCCTGATCACTCTAGCAATAACTTCTCCTCAAACCCCTCCACACCGGTCGGCTCCCCCCAGGGGCTTGCAGGTGAGTGACAGATCTTGTTCTCTGGGTCAGGTTTGCTTTTGGGAGCTTCCCAGGTCAGCCCCAAACCCTCACTACAGAGCCCGGGGGTGGCAGCGACCACGGGACCTGCTCCTGCCATTCCTGATCCTGTCCCTGAGCATCCCACCTCACAGAGGCTGTCCCTGGATTTGTCTCCCATGGGAGAAGCGCACTGGGAACTGGGAAGCGGCCAACCAGTTAAAACCCATTTCCAGCACCTGGTGAAAGCCTGTCCCTGCTGCCCTCGGGCAGGACAAGGTCCCGTTGTGCCCAGCAGAGCTGGTGCCCGGGTTCCCCGTGCCTGGGGTGCAGCCCCAAGGTCACAGCGTGTCACTGAGACCAGGGACAGTTGGAAACCTCTTGAGTCTGAAGGCCTGAGCTCAGCTCCCTGCTGAGCCAGAGCAGAGGCTGAGCCCATAGTGCCACGAGGTGCCATGTGGTGCCATGGGGTGCCATGGGGTGCCACGAGGTGCCATGTGGTGCCATGGGGTGCCATGAGGTGCCATGTGGTGGCCCATGCTGTGCCGTGGTGCCACAGTGGCCTGTGCAGTGCCATGTGGTGCTGTGATGGCCTGTGTGGTGCTGTGGTGGCCCAGAAGGTGTTGTGCAGTGCCACAGGGGCCTGTGTGGTGCCACGTCGGCCCGCATTGGTGCCGTGCAGTGCCACGGTGATCCCCGTGGTGCCACGGGGTGCTGAGCGTGACACGGTGGCCTGTGCTCAGCGTGGTGGCCCCTGCAGTTCTGTGCCATGGCCCAGCTTCCAGCCCCATCTAGTGGCAGCCGGTGCCGGTGCCCAGCTCTCCGTTTGTCCCCAGGCACGTCGCAGTGGCCGCGGGCGAGCGGAGCGGGTGCCTTATCTCCCAGCTACGAAGGGAGCCTCCACACTTTGGTGAGTGGCTGCTCCTTTGCTCTCCCGTCCCCTGGGGCCTGGTGGGGAAGGATTTTTGGGGGAAGTCCTCTCCCCTGAACAGCCGGGGCCTGGAATGAGGTGGCTGGTGGAGATGGATGGATGTGTCCCTGAGGCTGGAGCCTCGCTGGATCCTGGACAGCCTGGCACCCTCCCTCCGTCCATGGCCCCGGCCCATCCTGGGGTCTGGCCCAGTGGGATGGATTCCTGGCAGGTTTCTGCCTCCCTTCCCTGAGCAGCTCTGCTGGTGTGACTGGTGTGACCCCTCATGCCTTTAGGGGATGGCACTGACTGGGGGGGTTATTTCTCCCCATCCCTGCCCTGTGGTACTTCAGTGCTGGATTGCCACGAGCCATCCTGCAGTGCAGAGCTGCAGCAGGCTGCTGGCTGAATGGGATTACAACCATGGAATCATGGAATGGTTTGGGTTGGGAGGGACCTTAAAGCCCATATCATTCCCCTGGGCAGGGACACCTTCCACCAGACCAGGTTGCTCCAACCTGGCCTTGGACACTTCCAGGGACGGGCAGTTAACACAGACCTCTCTCTGTCCTGTCCTTCCAGCAAAACAAAATGGAAGACAGGTTGGACGAAGCCATCCACGTGCTGAGGAACCACGCCGTGGGCCAGACCACTGCCATGCCCAGCAACCACGGGGACATGCACGGGCTCCTGGGCTCAGCACCGCCCCACAGTGCCGCCGTGGGCAGCCTGGGCCAGGCCTTCCCTGCCTCGGTCATGGCCCTGGGCAACAGGCACCCGAGCCTGGTACGTGTGGGGGCATCATGGCAGCTGGTGGGGACACGCTGGGGACACGTGCTGTGCTGTGTGTGGGGTGCCCTGGCATCCAGAGGGATGAGAATAGCTCAGTGTGGCCCAGCGTGGGTCAGGTGTTGGCAGTGCTGGATGGGTGACATGCATGGAAGTGACCTGCTGTGTTCCCACAGGGAGGGTTGAATCCCATCTCTTTCCACCCCCTGCCATGGGCAGGGACACCTTCCATTATCCCAGGTTGCTCCAAGCCTTGTCCAACCTGGCTTTGAACAGTTCCAGGGATGGGGCAGCCACAGCTTCTCTGGGCACACCAAGTCCACCCTCAGCACAGACGTGGCTCTTGGCACAAGCTCTGTGTGCACTTTGTTCGTGCCCCTTCTCAGGGCAGGCAGAGGTGGTGAAAGCTCTTCTTTACCTGCAACATGGATGGAAATCCCTCAAAACAGCTTCAAGCCATCCCTGGAGTATGCAGGGAGAAGGAGAGGAGGGATCCAGTGGGTTTAAGAGAGCCAGGTATCACCAGGAATTCCCTGCTCTGAATGGTTTGGGCAGGCACCATGTCCTACCCTGCATGTGAGGAGTGCTGGCGTGTGAGGGCTCTTTCTGGCTCCAGGGAATGGGACAGATTCCAGGCTCCCTGAGCATGTGGATGCTGAGGTCCCATGCTGGGTCACCAGGATCCCCCTTGTCCGGAGGCTGGTGACCCCAGCAGCACATTTTTGGCAGAACTGGTTGCCTGCTGCAGCAGCACATCTCCAGACTCTGGAACCAGTTGTGAGCCCCTTCCAGGCTTCCCAGACTCTGCTCCTGAGTGAGGAATCAGATGTGATCACACACATGTCCTGCCAGCTGCAAACCCAGCGTGTGGGCAGCAGGACTGGCTCTGTCCTGCCAGTCCCTGGCCCGTGTGGCACAGCCTGGGGGCCGTGGGCTCGGAAGGGCTGCCTGGCCCTCACCCTTCCTGGAGCCAAGTTCACATTGCTGGGATGTGCCTCGCTCTGATGGCACTGGGTGGTGGCAGAAGCAGTGGTGCTCGATGGAGACAGGACATGTGTCCTCCCCGGTGTGCCAGCCTTGCATCCAGGCAGGGAGGGGCTTTTCCATGGCGGGGGCACAGCTCTGATGGGGGCTTTGGGCTGAGCCCAGCTCATGTGCAGTCGCTGCCACAGTCCTCAGAGAGCTGGTGCTGGAGCAGGCTGGCTCTTCCCTCCCACGTGCCTGTGCTCTGGGTGATGGGGCTGTGCAAGGGGCGCACACAGCTGTGCCTTAGCCCGGTCCATGGAGCCCTGGGGGTGTCCTCAGGTGACTGTCCCCCTGCCTGCTGGCCGTGACACGGCCCCCTTGCTCTGCTTGTTGTGCTGTAGGTGGGAGGAGGTCACCCCGAAGACGGCTTGTCCAGCAACCCCAGCTTGCTCCACAACCACGTCACACTTCCATCCCAGCCCAGCTCACTCCCCGACCTCAGCAGGCAGCAGGACACGTACAGCGGTAAGGCAGCTCTGCATGTCAGGGTTCACCTGTGCCAGGGCTCACCTGTGCCAGGGCTCACCTGTGCCAGGGCTCACCTG